CCAGGTAGGCTTCATATACCGTCGACTGTTTCTAGGAAAAATTATTGGCCTTTTTATTGTTTTTTTATTTATTTTTTTTTAATCCTGGAGCACGGTTTGACCCTGCGACCGTCTCCCCGGTTTTTGTCGGGTATTTTCTGGGGGTTTCCCACAATTTTTTAAACATCTTCTTTGCTTCGTGTTTTCATTCGCGGCGTGGCAGACGTGGTGGACGTGAACGGAGAGCGATCCCTGCGAGAGAAGGTGCAGCGGCTGGCAGAGCTGCACGATATTGACCGCATTGGAATCAACGGCGACTGCAAGGACGGTGAGTGATTGAGTGATTGTATGGAGCGTGCTTGTATGGGGTGTGACAATGTGACCACAGAAGGTTCAACGGTCGGCGGGGCTGCACGATATCGACCGCATTGAAATTAATGGGGCGACGCAAGGACGGTGAGTGGTGTGATGATGTGGATTATAGCAGTGAAGTTGTGTGAGTGAAAAGTGCGCTATCTCCTTCCCCCCCGAGGCCAGACCAACGACTCACTCTCTTCTTTGCCTGCTTCCTATGCTCCCTCGCCGTTTCGCCCTCCCCTTTCTCTTTCCCCTCGTCTCCCCTCGCATTCAACAGCCATGGAGCCGAGCGGCTCGACGTGGAAGTGTTTCTTCCCCGAATACAACCTCAAGTTCGTGAAATCGCCAATGTTCGTCGTGAATTCGCTAGTGGACTACAAGGCCGTCGCCATCGCCATGTCGCCAAAGGCGAAGGGCAAAGCGAACCCCCTCGTGCGCTGCCTGGGCTCGCACCTCAAAAAGTGCACCCCGCAACAGATACAGCAGCTACAGTACTTTTCAAGCAATATTAAAAACTCGTTAAACAGCGTACAGAAAAATCGTGCAGCAGCGGGGGTCCCCTTCGAGGCGTTCACATTCACTGAATCCACCCACTGCGTGGTGGGGGATGAAATGTGGCAGAAACTGAGGGATAATGTTTCAGGCGGTGGGGGAAATGGAGGGGGTAATGTGGCCGGTGCTGCGTCCACTGGGCTCAGTCCGACCAACAAGAATCCCAACCTGGCAGGCTCCTTCAACAGCTGGTACGGCTAGTAGGGAATAACCGGGCAGCTGGTAAGGCTACTCAGCGGAATGGGAGGGGCAGCTGAAGAAGGGGGGACGGTGACTACCAGCAGTGGAGCAGAGGGGATGGAAGGGAGCCAAGTAGAGAGGGGGGGGAAAAGAAAAGGACACTAAGCTGATGCTACCGGTAATAGGGCAAAGGCAGCGTGCTGCAAAGTGGAGTGCCGAAGGCAGCAGTGTCAGGCTGGCACAGGGAACACCCGGTATATAATACCGGTCACGGAGGAGTGATTGCTAAGGAGGGAGCAGTGGAGAAGGGGGGGGGGGGGAGGGGAGGAGGAAAGGGGGCGGTGGGACAGTTTGCCCTCCCCTTGTCACACACACATACCCGTACCATATAAGCTGCAGGAGATACTCAGACTGACATGCATTCGTGGGGATACTTGGTTAGTTTTAACATTTGTTTAGCCAGTACAGCACATTGATTTCAGCAGCCTCTATGTAATAGTCCATTAATACAATACAGATGCACATGAGCCTAAACGCATCAGAAGACCAATAATGAAGCATCAAATAAGGCAGGTGCAGGTCAAAAGCCCATCGGACAGGTACCAGTTGAATGAGACACCTTCCGTGCTCCTCCCTCTTCTCCTTTCCCCTCCGTCGCCGGCTCATTTCCTCTTCCCTCGGTCCCCTTCGCACAACCTCCCTCCCTCATTCTCCCTTTAGAGGTTGCCAGAGGGCCAACAGCCGGCACAAGTTTTCCAGCTGCCCCGAGCCCGAACTGTGGGCAGTTGACATAAATTGCTTCATACTGCCCGGCACTAATTGCATACGACTCGTGCCACACGCCTATATCCGGGCTGTCCCTCAGCAGCTGGGTCATTCGCTTCCATGCTGCTTATGACGAGGCAGACAATATCGCGAACGTGGGAAGGCAAGGAGGCGGGGGGGGGAGGGGGGGAGGGGAAGGGATAAGGAGCAGGTACTATGTGGGGTTAGACATTCGAGGGCTGGAAATGCTTGGCCCGTGAATGTGTTTGCGTGAACCATGCCCATGCATGGGTATGTATGCCTGAACCATGCCCATGCATGGGTATGTATGCCTGAACTATGCCCATGCATCAAACGTGCCCATCACATGCTTCAATCATCCCCGATTCATGCGAACCCATCCCATCGTACCTGACCCGTGCACTAGGTTCTGGTTGTTGGCGTACGCAACCAGATCGTCATAAGAGCGCCAAAACATGACAGCCAATGTCTGTGAGCCACGTGTCGTGTCCATGCCCACATAGTAGTCCCCCCCCAGGTACCCAAACTTGTCTGTCTCTTGCTCCAGCTCCCTGCCGTGAAGTGTAGGGATAAGCACGGAGAACACACAAGTGTGAGAGCGCGAATGTTGAGAGTATGGTATGGACCCATGTGTCGTGTCCAGGCCAACGTAGTAGTCCCCGCCCAGCAGCCTGCCACACTCTCGCTCCAGCTCCCGGCCAAGGGATGGTTGCCGGGGCAAGTGAGAGTCTCTCCAGGCACCACAGCGGACAGGAATCGTCTCAGGAATCGACTCAATGGGCACCGCATGGCAGAAGCATGGATGGATGACTAGACAAGAGGGTGTCATAGGTGGAGCCTTTTTGGCAGTGTACGCCACAGCAAGACTTTGTGAGGAGTCTTTTCAGCGCTTCACTGGTTCACCGGTTTACCTTACAGCTAGCCGAAACACCTCCCCAACTGAAGCAAAGGGGTATTTTGAGTCGATTCGAAATACACCGGGTGTGGTTGATTGGAGTCTTTTCAGCGCCTTACCTCACGGCTTGCTGAAACACCTCCCCCACCGAAGCAAAGGACGGGCCCAGTGGGAACGGATTGTTGGCTCGTGCACCGATCAGAAACAGACAAAAGTCGCCATCCATCTTGCCGGCCATCCGGCCCTTGAAGATATCCATCCCATTCACGGACAGCAAGTTGCCGACCCGTGCCGCCTCGTGCCGTCCACCAACTCCGTTCTGCTTGCCGTCTGAGCCCGCTGTCGCCACCCAACCTTCGCCTTCACTCTTCCCTTTCCCCACTGCCTCTCCTGCCTCAGGTACCACCTCCCCCAGCAGCCCCTCCCTTTCAAACTGCGCCTTCCCCTTAGCCCCCTTCTCCTCCCCCCTCTCCCTGCTTTCCCCAGATGTACCTTCCCTATAAACGCCCTTTCTGGCCCCTCCCCAGCGCCAGCTGTGCAGCGCAGTGCGCAGAATGGGCGGCAGGAGGGCGGCAGCAGTGAGAGCAAGGGCCAGCGGGCGGGGGAGAATGAGCGCTGTGAGCATGCCCGCCCCGATAAGCACCTGCGGGGCGACATAGGGAGAGTGCGGGGGCGAAGCAGAGTGAGCGAGCAGAGCGCGGGAGGAAGAGTGAGCGGGAGACGATCGAGGGGGCGGGGGAGAATGAGCGCTGTGCGCATGCCCGCTCCCAGGAGTACCTGGGGAGTGAGGGCACGGCAGGGAGGAGGGTAGGGCAGGGCAGGGCAGGGAGGGTTGAAGAGTGGAATTGGGAGGATGTAGTGATCGCTTGAAGCAGGTGATCCAGGCACCGATCTAGAGTGAGCATTGTAGCTACTAGCCACCGCATTGCTGCTGCCTCAAGGGGAACAGTGTATCACAGAGCTTAAGAGGCGCTGCCTTTCTCACCTGCATGGGCTTACCGCTCTCTTACCTGCATGGGCGAACTACCTTCCTCACTTAGTACCTGCATGGGAGAACCACCTTCCTCACTTAGTACCTGCATGGGCGAACCGCCTTCCTCACTTAGTACCTGCATGGGCGAACCACCTTCCTCACTTAGTACCTGCATTTTGCAGGGTGTTTTTGAGAATTCTCAAAAACACCCTGCAAAAACTTAGTACCTGCATGGGGGCGAGCGCCTTAAGTAGTGCGAACGGATCACTCCCCTCCATTCGCCCTATCAGCCTCTTTCCTGGAACCTTCGTCGCCGCCTCTCCCTGCTTCGTTGGGCTGCTCGGGTTACCAGCAACGGATTTCGGCGGGTTCGCCAAGGTGGGTTGGTCCGCTTGCGAAACGTGCGCGGGGTGGTGATTGGCGGCGCTTGTCGCGTGCGACACGCTGTCGCCAGCAGAAGCCATGAAGATGCGACTGACGCTTGCCAGAGACAATCGCCGGTTCGCGAAAGGGTTCGCGAATGGGTTCGCGAACGCGTTGCGACAAGGCTGTAGCGCTTCGAAAGCGGTTGTCGCGACTCTAGTCGCCGGCGGTGCGACGGTTGCCGTAATCCACGGCAGGCGACCGATGGTGCGAATCGCAGAGGAGACGGCGACGGATCGCATGAGCTGAAAACACCGAGAGTCAGGTTTCCAGTCAGCTCTCGCTATAGTGTAGCGAGCTGCAAGACTCTGAGGAATGCACGTCGGGCGTGCGTCGTGCGACGAGCAGTGCTCGTCAGCCGGTCTGCCCTATGGATAGGTTCTCCCACAGCCAGAGCAGCAACACCAGAGCCACTGCTTATAGACTGAACAGTCGAAAGGTATTTATCCGCAACGGAGGAGGCGGGGCCGAACCGTCCGTTATCAATGACGGCCTCTATCACAGACTCCGTCACCGGCCCCGTCAGTCTCTGTCAAGCTAACTCCTGGGGTTCGTCGGCGACACTACTAAGTCCGTCACCGCCCTGTCGGCGCCTGCAGACCGCGCCATGCAGGCCCGGCACTGGAGTGGGGTGGTGTGGTGGTGTGTGTGGCACGCAAAATAGGTAAGTGAGGAAAGGAGACCGAAGGAGCTAACGCCACGTCATGCTGACGAGAGTGGAAAGGCGTAAGAAGCTTCCTCCATTACATCTTGACGTCAGTTCGCGTCAGGACGGGGCTCGTTATTCAGTTTACAGCTTCCGTGCGGGTGGGTAGGCTAGCGACATTATAAGGTTAGTTTTCACAAAATGGACGTGTGATTTTTTCCTAATTATTGATAGCACCGTACCACCAATGCCGATACCTATAATCATTGCATTGTTCTGACATGGGATTACAGATCTTATCCATACACATTCCATTCTAACTCCCGAGCATTACACATGGGATGCTTTAAAGAGGGAAGAATAACTTGGGTAGTCGATCATCGAAGTGTATATACCCTCCTTTGTTTGATATACGTATGCACTCATTATCAGCCAACCTGAGCCACAACACCATAAGGGGATTCAGTGAAGGACACGTCACGATGAATAACTACATTGTTAAAACTGGCTTGTTACTCACTCGTTACAAAGAATGGTGCCGTCGCTGTATCTCAAACCAGTAACACGCACAGTGTCGTGTAACTGCACATCAGCAGGAGTGTTGGTTACCGCAACGACAGCTGGTCCGCGCTGGAACACGAGCAAGTGGGTGGAGACAAATCGAATGCCTTGGTGCTTGTACTGCCATAGGGACACCTGGTTGGGTGGTGATGTTATGGGTCAAATCACGCAGAAAGGAATGCAGACGGTGTAAACAACCACTGCGATGCCTCAGCCTCATCAGTGAACGCAGAAGAGGTAAAGCAGAGCACAAGGCACACCCACAGTCACACTCACTCATGGCTCTCAACGGACCTTTTGTCTGAAGCGAATGACAGCGGTCAAGAAGCCGTAGAGCGGGTGGTGCGTATTGAGGAAGGGCCAAAGGGACTCCCGGTTCTGGGGGTCCGGGCCGCCCATGAAGGCCTGAGGGGAGGGATGGGATGGGAGGAGAAGGAAAACGAGCAACGATAAAAGGGTGACAGGTGGCAACAGCGGTAATGAAGGCGGTGGGAGCTGAGGAAAGGGCACAAGGAGTGGCAGTTCTGGGGTCTGGGCCTCCCATGAAGGCATGAGGAAGAAAGGAAGAGGGGCAGGATGGAGGTTGCAGACAGTGGGAGGAGCGGGGGTCAGGGACTCGAGGACTTGGAATCCAGACCTCCCGTGACGGCCTGAGGGGCGGGGCACGGAGGGGCGGGACAAGGTGGGAAATAATAGGGGTGCATGGCTCTGAGAAAGAATGACTAACAGACACATTGTGAGAAACCATGGATAAGCTTGCTGAACCAACCAAGAAACGCAACCATCCCAACACCGCATAAGACGATCCGGCCCGGCCACGCTGAATTAACATCCAAGGGGCTCCGCCTGCTCTGCGCCCCAGTCGATGAGGGGAATGCGTCTTGACGCTAGCAGCAGGACTGCTCTGAGGCGGCTGAAAAACGGTAGCAACTGGCCTTGCAGTTCCACCCCCCAGTACCTGCCTGCTCCGTGCCTCCCAGTACCACGCAACCACTCACCTGCTCTGTGCCTGCCTCCCAACACCATCCGCCCACCTGCTCTGTGCATGCCTGCCAACCAACAACACGCACCCACCTGCTCTGTGCATGCCTGCCAACCAACAGCACGCACCCACCTGCTCTGTGCATGCCTGCCAACCAACAACACGCACCCACCTGCTCTGTGCATGCCTGCCAACCAACAACACGCACCCACCTGCTCTGTGCGTGCCTGCCAACCAACAGCACACACCCACCTGCTCTGTGCATGCCTGCCAACCAACAGCACGCACCCACCTGCTCTGTGCATGCCTGCCAACCAACAGCACGCACCCACCTGCTCTGTGCATGCCTGCCAACCAACAGCACACACCCACCTGCTCTGTGCATGCCTGCCAACCAACAACACGCACCCACCTGCTCTGTGCGTGCCTGCCAACCAACAGCACACACCCACCTGCTCTGTGCATGCCTGCCAACCAACAACATGCACCCACCTGCTCTGTGCATGCCTGCCAACCAACAACACGCACCCACCTGCTCTGTGCATGCCTGCCAACCAACAACACGCACCCACCTGCTCTGTGCATGCCTGCCAACCAACAACACGCACCCACCTGCTCTGTGCATGCCTGCCAACCAACAACACGCACCCACCTGCTCTGTGCATGCCTGCCAACCAACAACACGCACCCACCTGCTCTGTGCGTGCCTGCCAACCAACAGCACACACCCACCTGCTCCGTGCATGCCTGCCAACCAACAGCACGCACCCACCTGCTCTGTGCATGCCTGCCAACCAACAACATGCACCCACCTGCTCTGTGCATGCCTGCCAACCAACAACACGCACCCACCTGCTCTGTGCATGCCTGCCAACCAACAACACGCACCCACCTGCTCTGTGCATGCCTGCCAACCAACAACACGCACCCACCTGCTCTGTGCATGCCTGCCAACCAACAACACGCACCCACCTGCTCTGTGCATGCCTGCCAACCAACAACACGCACCCACCTGCTCTGTGCATGCCTGCCAACCAACAACACGCACCCACCTGCTCTGTGCGTGCCTGCCAACCAACAGCACACACCCACCTGCTCTGTGCATGCCTGCCAACCAACAGCACGCACCCACCTGCTCTGTGCATGCCTGCCAACCAACAGCACGCACCCACCTGCTCTGTGCGTGCCTGCCAACCAACAGCACACACCCACCTGCTCTGTGCATGCCTGCCAACCAACAACACGCACCCACCTGCTCTGTGCGTGCCTGCCAACCAACAGCACACACCCACCTGCTCTGTGCATGCCTGCCAACCAACAACATGCACCCACCTGCTCTGTGCATGCCTGCCAACCAACAACACGCACCCACCTGCTCTGTGCATGCCTGCCAACCAACAACACGCACCCACCTGCTCTGTGCATGCCTGCCAACCAACAGCACGCACCCACCTGCTCTGTGCGTGCCTGCCAACCAACAGCACACACCCACCTGCTCTGTGCATGCCTGCCAACCAACAACACGCACCCACCTGCTCTGTGCGTGCCTGCCAACCAACAGCACACACCCACCTGCTCTGTGCATGCCTGCCAACCAACAACATGCACCCACCTGCTCTGTGCATGCCTGCCAACCAACAACACGCACCCACCTGCTCTGTGCATGCCTGCCAACCAACAACACGCACCCACCTGCTCTGTGCATGCCTGCCAACCAACAACACGCACCCACCTGCTCTGTGCATGCCTGCCAACCAACAACACGCACCCACCTGCTCTGTGCATGCCTGCCAACCAACAACACGCACCCACCTGCTCTGTGCATGCCTGCCAACCAACAACACGCACCCACCTGCTCTGTGCATGCCTGCCAACCAACAACACGCACCCACCTGCTCTGTGCATGCCTGCCAACCAACAACACGCACCCACCTGCTCTGTGCCTGCCAACAACACGCACCCACCTGCTCTGTGCCTGCCAACAACACGCACCCACCTGCTCTGTGCATGCCTGCCAACCAACAACACGCACCCACCTGCTCTGTGCGTGCCTGCCAACCAACAGCACACACCCACCTGCTCTGTGCATGCCTGCCAACCAACAACATGCACCCACCTGCTCTGTGCATGCCTGCCAACCAACAACACGCACCCACCTGCTCTGTGCATGCCTGCCAACCAACAACACGCACCCACCTGCTCTGTGCATGCCTGCCAACCAACAGCACGCACCCACCTGCTCTGTGCGTGCCTGCCAACCAACAGCACACACCCACCTGCTCTGTGCATGCCTGCCAACCAACAACACGCACCCACCTGCTCTGTGCGTGCCTGCCAACCAACAGCACACACCCACCTGCTCTGTGCATGCCTGCCAACCAACAACATGCACCCACCTGCTCTGTGCATGCCTGCCAACCAACAACACGCACCCACCTGCTCTGTGCATGCCTGCCAACCAACAACACGCACCCACCTGCTCTGTGCATGCCTGCCAACCAACAACACGCACCCACCTGCTCTGTGCATGCCTGCCAACCAACAACACGCACCCACCTGCTCTGTGCATGCCTGCCAACCAACAACACGCACCCACCTGCTCTGTGCATGCCTGCCAACCAACAACACGCACCCACCTGCTCTGTGCATGCCTGCCAACCAACAACACGCACCCACCTGCTCTGTGCATGCCTGCCAACCAACAACACGCACCCACCTGCTCTGTGCCTGCCAACAACACGCACCCACCTGCTCTGTGCCTGCCAACAACACGCACCCACCTGCTCTGTGCATGCCTGCCAACCAACAACACGCACCCACCTGCTCTGTGCATGCCTGCCAACCAACAACACGCACCCACCTGCTCTGTGCATGCCTGCCAACCAACAACACGCACCCACCTGCTCTGTGCATGCCTGCCAACCAACAACACGCACCCACCTGCTCTGTGCATGCCTGCCAACCAACAACACGCACCCACCTGCTCTGTGCATGCCTGCCAACCAACAACACGCACCCACCTGCTCTGTGCCTGCCAACAACACGCACCCACCTGCTCTGTGCCTGCCAACAACACGCACCCACCTGCTCTGTGCATGCCTGCCAACCAACAACACGCACCCACCTGCTCTGTGCCTGCCAACAACACGCACCCACCTGCTCTGTGCCTGCCAACAACACGCACCCACCTGCTCTGTGCCTGAGTAAATGAGGGGAATGCCTTTCGATGTCAGCAGCAGGACCAACGCGTTGCGGAGAAGCACCTGGTCTGAAGGGCGAGAAAAGGGACGGGGTAAAAGTGTGGAAGCGGGGGAAGAAGAGAGGCTGAAAGGGAATGGAGGAGAGGGGAGGGGAGGAGAGGCATATGTTTTTCTGAGAGCAGAACAACCCAGTCACATGAATACCTTGACATCACCTATCTCTAAACGCCTCCCACCTCCATGCAGCAAGCCCAGGAGCCGCGGCGAGTCGTGGTTGTCGAGGAAGGTTCCCTGAAAGTCCGCATTCCCAGCTCCCTCAAAGACTGCTGCCATGTCCCTCGCCAGGTCCACCATCGACCCCACTACAGGAGCAGCCGGCCTTACAGCAGCAGCAGCAGGAAAGGCAGGGGCAGCAGACGCAGGGCCCGCGGGGGCAGTGGAGCCGGCAGCAGGGCTGTGGGTTAAGCCGCCACGTGCAGCCCCGTCCATGTCCCCCCCTGTGAACGCGTTCACCATGGCTATCTGCAGCGCCTGCTGTAGCTCAGCTGTAGCCCAGTTCTGTTAGGAAAGGGAGGGAAAAGAAGTGGGGGAGTACTTAAAGTGGGAGCAGCAAGGCAGAAGCAGCAGGAGAAGCAGAGGTGGAGGGAGGGGCCGCAACAGGGAAAGTCCAGTTTTGAGGCGCCTCAAAACTAGAAGCAGAGGTGGAGGGAGGGGCCACAACAGGGAAAGTCCAGCCCGCAGCAGGGCTGTGGGAGAAGCCGTCAAGTGCAGCACTGTCTGTGGCACCCCCTAAGAAAGGCTTGACCATGGCTATCTGCAGCGCCTGCTGTAGCTGGGCTGCTGCCCAGTCGTGTCAGGAAAGGGAGGTAAAAGAATAGAAGGGGGCATGACATGGACGAGAGGCATGACATGGACGAGGGGCATGACATGGACGAGGGGCATGACATGGACGAGGGGCATGACATGGACGAGGGGCATGACATGGACGAGGGGCATGACATGGACGAGGGGCATGACATGGACGAGGGGCATGACATGGACGAGGGGCATGACATGGACGAGGGGCATGACATGGACGAGGGGCATGACATGGACGAGGGGCATGACATGGACGAGGGGCATGACATGGACGAGGGGCATGACATGGACGAGGGGCATGACATGGACGAGGGGCATGACATGGACGAGGGGCATGACATGGACGAGGGGCATGACATGGACGAGGGGCATGACATGGACGAGGGGCATGACATGGACGAGGGGCATGACATGGACGAGGGGCATGACATGGACGAGGGGCATGACATGGACGAGGGGCATGACATGGACGAGGGGCATGACATGGACGAGGGGCATGACATGGACGAGGGGCATGACATGGACGAGGGGCATCACATGGACGAGGGGCATGACATGGACGAGGGGCATGACATGGACGAGGGGCATGACATGGACGAGGGGCATGACATGGACGAGGGGCATCACATGGACGAGGGGCATGACATGGACGAGGGGCATGACATGGACGAGGCAGCATTGCAAGCCAATGCGTTTTGTTTTCGAGAATCCTAAAAAACAAAACACAGCAGCAAGCCAATGCAGAAGCAGCAGGGACGCCGCAGGGGAAGTGCAGCCAGCAGCAGGGCTGTGGGTGATGGGCACACTAGCTGCTCTATGCCCTCCCTGCCAGGAGGCGTTGGGGGAGCGGTAGGGAGGGGATGGAAAGCTCTGCAAAGATGGGCACCTTAAGCTGAGTAGACTGTGCAGTTTTTAGTCTCGTGGTGAAGATTTTTTTCAGAAGCTAACTTTGCAGCTTGAATCCAGCAAGTGGATTCCAACGCCATGTGACTTTTGAGTCAACTCACATGTGCCGGAATTAGTATTCGAGCTCTATAAGTTACCACTCAGTGTATGCTCAGCTTGCCACCAGGCGTTGAGGGAGCAGCAGCGAGGGGACCCCAGGCAGCAGCCTCATGTCACCTCGCCGCGGTGTCAGCAACTCCAAGGCACGATGTGAATACCACACTAGCTGCTGTATGCTTTTTTTTAGGCGTCTCAAAAATAGCTGCTGTCTGAGAGAAGGTAACTTACAGTGTAGGCTCTGCCTGCCAGCAGGCGTTGTGGAAGGGGCAGCGAGGGGATGGAGAGCTCTGCAAAGGCGGGCACCCCTAGCCGAGTAGGGAGCCAGCGGACGAACTCAGGCGCCATGTGGTGGGCTGCGTCGATGCGGATGGCGTCGAAAGAGAATGAGTGCACATGATTGGCTGCAGGGGAGAACACGAGAGAGGAGGGGGGGGGGGGGGGGGGGGGAAGGAGCGTAGCGACGGCAAAAAGCAGAGCCAGGGGGTGAGTTCAGGCCGCATGAGGTGGGCTGCATCGATGCAAACGGCATCGAACGAGAATGTGCGCACCAGGTTGGCTGAGAGGGAGAGGGAGAGGGAGAGGAGAGGGAGAGGGAGAGGGAGAGGGAGAGGGAGAGGGAGAAGGAGAGGGAGAGGGAGAGGGAGGGGGAGGGAAGCGGTGAGGATACGCACACGCAGGCACGCAAGCACGTCCCACCCACCTGTCGACTGTAGAAGCGCAGCAGCAACGGCGGGATTCGTCTGGTTGAGGTCTGGAAGGCTCGCCAGCCAACAGCGCTGCCAGTTGTCAGCGTCGTACTGGCTGAAATCCACCGTGCAGGGCGGGTGGAAGGAGGCGCTCTGGAGCGAGTGGAGTAGAGAGGGTGGGAGGGGTAAAGGGGGGGTGGGGGTTGAAAGAGAGGGAGGGGGGGTACAGGGGCAGGGTAGAGGATAGGATAGGAGAGGGAGGGCTGAAATCCACTGTGCAGGGCGGGTGGAAGGAGGCGCTCTGGCATCGTGGGGGCAGCGAAGGGGAGTGGGGGTAAAGGGGTGGAGTGGAGTGCACCACACAGGGAAGGATAGGAGTCGGAGGGAAGGGCTGAAGTCCACCGTACAGGATGGGTGGAAGGAGGCGCTCTGGAGCATAGTGGAGTGGAGAAGGAGGGATAAAGGGGGGTTGGGGTTTAATGAGACGGAGAGGTAGGGGAGAGGACAGGAGAGGGAGGGCTGAAGTCCACCGTACAGGGGGGGTGGAAGAAGGCGCTCTGGCATCACGTTGGATGTGGGATGGGTGAGGAAGGGGGGAATGGTTGAGTGTACACTGAACCGAACCTCCTCTCACCTGGTTAAAGGGAGCATAGCTGTCGCTCAGCCACGGTGGCGGGCGAATCGTCTCCTGCCACGTGTCACATGGCCCTCCTCCCTCTGGGCACCCCACATGGTTGAGCACTACTGGAAAGGAGTGGTCAAGGGTGGGGGAGAGGAGATTAGAGTGAGTGAGGAGTGGAGAGAGGAGTGGAGAGAGGAGTGTTGAGAAGGGGGTGAAAGGGAGGCTCATATTGTGAGGAGGGCAACGGGATGGCCAGGGGGGGGGAGGAGGAGAAGAGACTTTTGACTAGACTCAGAAGTCACCTAGGGGGGGGGAGGAGGAGAAGTGAAGGGTGCGTGAGCAGTGTAAATAGGTGGAAAGCGGAGTCGATTTTCAAGAATGCTGAAAAGCGCCTCTAATCAAGGGGGGTGATGGAGAGCACAGGGGACAGCAAACCAGCTAATCAGGGTATTTTTTTCGCCTCAAAACGAGGCGACTTCAATCCACAAGGAGGGTGATGATGGAGTAGCTTAGTTTTGAGACGTCTCAAAACTATACTGAGAGGCAGGAGACAGCAAGCCTGAGCAAGACAAAGTATGACATTCCATATCCTATCACCTTTCACCTTGCCCAAAACCCCACGTACGTGCTACTATTCCCATGACATGCCATGCTAAGCTAGCAACCCACCGTCCATCATGACCAGGAACCCCATGGCATGTGCAGCGGCGACGAGACTCTTGAGCTCCTTGGGAGTGCCGAGATGGGGGTTAATGGCCAGCTGGTGGAGAGGAGACAGTGGGAAACGGGGGTGAGTGGAGGGGGGAGAAACAATGAGCCGGCATATAAAGCTCTTGAGCTCCTTGGGAGTGCCGACATGGGGGTTAATGGCAACCTGGTGAAGGCTGACTTGACAGCCCTCTAAAGAGCTGAAGCCCACTGAAGAGCTGAAGCCCACTGAAGAGCTGAAGCCCACTGAAGAGCTGAAGCCCACTGAAGAGCTGAAGCCCACTGAAGAGCTGAAGCCCTCTGAAGAGCACGTGGCCAGCCACCAGCTTACCTGTGGCTGTCCGTCCTCCCCTTGTCGCTGTGCACGTGGCATGGCGAAGCCCCTAGGCCAGTAGCCGTGGTAACCGTACGGGCTGTTGACTGTTACAGGGCCGATCAGCAGAGCATCAAAGCCCATCCCCCGGATGTCTGGTTACGGTGGGGAGTGGGGAGGAGAGGGGAGAGAGAGTGAGGAGGAGAAGGGCGAGGGGAGAAGGGCGAGGGGAGGAGGGAGACGGGAGAAGGGATAGGGGAGAAGGGAGAGGGAGAAGGGAGAGGGGAGAAGGAACGGCAGAATAAAACGCTTACCTCAGTCACCTTCTCTCTAACCCATTTTCGAAATACAGGAAATAAGTAGGGACATAAGGAACTCGGAGTTTTATCCCAATCCCCTTCTCCAAGCTTTCTCCGCCTTCTCACTTCCGCCTCTCCTATGCGAGCTTTGGAAACCGCAGACTGAGCTACGCATTCTGACGCATCTAGACATATAGGGGTCTCACTACTACTCACTCACATGGCAAGTGCTGCTTCATTCCTGCGAACGTTCCTCCTGCAGCCACGTGGCAGAAAGGGATTGGACAAATGGATGGGGGGAGGGCGCGATGAGTAGGGTCAGGAGCAGGCTTTAAGAAACTGGACAGTCGACGTCGGAGAAATTTCAGCGAGGCAGTGAAAGAGGAGTGGGCAGCTGATTATACGTTAGCCAGCACATGCACAGGGTTACGACTTCTCGAATATAAGGTGTTTCTTTTTGGAAATCCGGTGGTGGTGCATGCTGCCGTGAAAGCATGTTTAGAAAGAAAAATGTCACATGACAACAATAAGTAGGAGAAAGGGGTAGGGGGGCAAGGGGGGAGGGGTGTGAGGGGGACTTTGGGAGTATTTGGATCCATTAGGGGCATTGGGAAACCTCAATATCCGAGGCAAAATTACCGCAATAATCAGAGAGCGTGCCGCACTGCGGTTGGGATAGTATGGGCTTGGGAGGAGCGAACCTGTCCACAAACACCTGGTGCACGGGCGATGTGGGGGGGGGATGGGGAGAGAAGGGGAGAGAGGGGGGGAGAGGGGGGGAGAGGAGGGGAGAGAGGGGGGAGCCAGAACATGAAGAGGCAAACCATGAAGAGCCAAACCATGAAGAGCCAAACCATGAAGAGCCAAACCATGAAGAGGCAAACCATGAAGAGGCAAACCATGAAGAGGCAAACCATGAAGAGGCAAACCATGAAGAGGCAAACCATGAAGAGGCAAACCATGAAGAGCCAAACCATGAAGAGCCAAACCACGAAGAGCCAAACCATGAAGAGCCAAACCATGAAGAGGCAAACCATGAAGAGGCAAACCATGAAGAGGCAAACCACGAAGAGCCAAACCCTGAAGAGCCAAACCACGAAGAGGCAAACCATGAAGAGGCAAACCATGAAGAGCCAAACCATGGGACCGGGAGGAGCGAATTTGTCCACAAGCAACTCGAAAGAGGGAGATGCGGAGCGGAAGAAAGACTGGAAGGAGCGAAGCTGTAGACGCATGTGATGTGATGGGGCATGTGACATGTGATGTGGGGCATGTGATGTGGGGCATGTGATGTGGGGAATCTGATGTGGGGAATCTGATGTGGGGTATGTGATGTGGGGTATGTGATGTGGGGTATGTGATGTGGGGTATGTGATGTGGGGTATGTGATGTGGGGTATGTGATGTTGGGCATGTGATGTGGGGCAGTGATGTGGGGCATATGTGGAGGTAACAGGCGTGTGACGTGACGATACTCACATCGTAAACACAGTAACACCGCTCACATGAAACGCCACTCACATGGTAACGCCACTGACGTCTGGTTAGTTACACACGGTAACACAACTCACATGAAACGCCACTCGCATGGTAACGCCACTGACGTCTGGTTACACACGGTAACACAACTCACATGAAACGCCACTCGCATGGTAACGCCACTGACGTCTGGTTACACACAGTAACACCACTCACATGGTACACCACCCTCGACCGCCAGCTAGCAACAGCGTCTCTCAATGCCAGCGATTCGCCTGCATAGCCCATTCCCCCGAGCGGGTCTGCTTGTAACGAGACGGACCAGAGGCTGCGGAGCGACGAGCACGCCATGGCTAGGACCGCGATGGCAACGGCAGAGGAAGCTGCGAGGAAGGAGAGGAGGAAGGCCTGAGAGGACGGGGAGACGTGACGCCCGTGATGGAGGCGAGCGACGGCGAGATGGTGGTGGGGATGGGGATGGACGGCCATGATGATCCGAATCCTTCAGACGATTCACTGAGTGAGTCGCGAATTTCTCACTAACGAGGACAGGATCCTGTGTCGGTCGTTCCAGAGAGTTAAGGAAAGGAGAACCAGAGGGGAAAGGAACCCAGAGAGCTCGTTCCCCAGCAAATCCACGCTTCGAAGAACCTGGAGCGTCTGAACGCATCTGCAAAAAGACCATTATGGTGATGTGCGACTAATTATCCGCGCGGCGACAGACGAGAAGATGACAGTGTGAGATGAGGTGGCACGCGGAATGGGCTGTAGTGACAGAATGGTATTGAAAAAGTGCTGCGCGACAGGTTTCCAACGGCTGTTCCAGCCTGGAAAAGGCTTGAGATGATGCTCCTCTTGTCTCTCTTGATCATTATGAACGTATGATCGTGCGGCCATGACGTCCCAACCAATACGGACGTGCCACGCCCTAAGCTGTCGGTACCCCCGTCGTCGTTCGTTCTCGAAATCCACGTCGTGACCGAGAAATTGGAATGAACGAATGATCGAATGGCTGCTGGGGGAACAGCAATGAAGGGGTTTTTGGATGTTACAATTAGGCAGTGCTTGAAATGCTCGCAGCCGCTAGACTGACAACCAGTGCTGGTCTCTCCGAATGGAATTTGGCGTGAAACAATATTTGTGTGTGGAGTAGGCAGGGCTGGAGGGCGCAATGAAAGTGTGGAGCGGATTCTGTCACGAGGCAAGTTGGGTGTAGGGCTATACAACATAGGAAGGTGTAATTTAATGGGTAATATTGACGACGTCTAATGTCGAAACTATATCAGAAATTATCAGGGCTACAGGCATCGTCCTCTAATTTCAGGAAGGAGTTCCAAGATTTTATGACTTTTGCTCAAATCTTATTTTCTGATGAATATAGGTGCACGATCTCAACACTTATCCTAACACTCCGGGTACCAACCCTCCAGCTCCCATATTTCAAGAGCTGCTCTGGAATGCGGGAGGTTAGTGGAGAATTTTCAAGTTCCACCATCGATGCCAACATCACTGGTTACAGGCTGGTGTCAAGGGGCAGAAAAGGCGGTGAACTCCAGCCATCTCTGGAACCACCAAGGGCTTTTGAGGGTATTCTGCAGCGAGTGTCAGACCCGAGGTCGACCCGTGGCGGAAGGAGCCCCGGGCTGTCACAATCTAACTGCGGGTTTAATTTTCTTGACGGTGCAGCGGCTGCATAGTCGCAAACTGTCGCAAGGGGAGGATTGCGACTGGTACTGGCCGAACTTTTCGAGTCCCCAAGAAATTTACGAAGTTATGATTGGTGGAAGTTCATTTGCACGACTTTGTTAGCTGTTCGGTTTGACAGCTGAGTGGCTGGAGCCGTCAGTTTTTCGCAAGACCCGAGGCAATTTTTTCCAGCCTCGGATCTTCCCACTAAACTCTCGGGTCTAACACTCGCTGCGGAATTACCCTGAGAAAAGCGTAACGTTGGAAGCACACCCAGAAAAACCCCTTGTATTGCTCTAAACCCCTGCTTCGCGAAACCGCCCAACCAACCATGTGGCGAGAAAGGCAGTCACGAACTCACACGCAATCGTCGCGAACCCGTAACCGCTATCGCCAACAAGACACCCCCAAGCCCAGCGACAATTTCTCAAGTTCCGTCTTTGGATCCGCAAATCCCAAGATCGCTGATCCTATTTTCCGAAGACCCATTTTCGCGCAGTTCGGCAGTTTCTAGGTTCTACCACAGCCATCTCTAGTGTGGTAACAGCTAATTTCCGGTGAGCGCTAAATCCCAGAAACGCTGCGATGGCGTCAGAAGCGGCGCCAGGTCAGCTGGGCGCGCGGTGGACTCCTCCGGGGGGCGGCGCTGGCGGGAAAGCGGGAGCGATTAGTAGTAGTCGTAGTAGCAATAGCTGTGGCCTCCGTGTGAATAACAGCCTGTGCAACGAGAAAGTTCCATTCGTGCCGCAACAAGGACGACGAGGTAGGCCTGTCACTGTGTAACCAGACATTGTAACTCTCGGTGGAGAATAGCGGGTCTTTTACTGACGCGATTGGAAATGGGTGGCTGGATCGGATAGATCAAGACATTTTGCAGACGACGTGGCGTTTGCTGGCATTGAAGAACTTTCTTTCCAGATTGTTGAAATGTCTCACGTTGAGGAACAAACTTGACTGCGCAGCTTCCGTCCCCATCCGTTCGTTACAGTCACATGGTACATCTGTGGGCCTACGGTGTACGACTCGTCGCACATCGGCCATGCACGGACGTACCTCTCCTTCGATATTATCCGACGCATCCTCGAGGTAAGCTCCGTTGTTACAGTCACACTTCGTAGGGTGGGTTGTGTTTTATTATGTCAGCATTTTTGGAATGATAATGTGCTGTCTTCGTGTTGCTTGTGTCGAGCAGGACTATTTCGGGTATGACGTATTCTACGTGATGAACGTGACTGACGTGGACGATAAGATCATTGCGAGGGCCAGAAGGGACTACCTCATCAAGCAATACCTCCTAGCCACGTCAGATGCCGCCCAGGTGAGCCAACTTGCCACGTCAGATGCTGCCAGGTATGTAACTGTGCTACATCTGCCCCCTGTAAGCCGCCATCGATCTCAGCTGTCTTTCCTCTGCCACTCTTCTCTGCCAATATTTTGCCTCCCTTTCCCCAGTCCTGTGTTCCTACATCAGTGTCTCGTAACGTTGGAATCTCCTTAGCTGCAGCAGCTCCGAAGACCTTCTTGCCGCGCCTCATACACCATTCTTGAGTCGACTTAAAGTCACATCAGCGTCTAATCACATTGGGATCTCCTTAGCTGCAGCAGCTCCACAGACCTTCTTGCCGCGCCTCAAGCACCATTCTGTACCCCTCCGTTTTCCCTTCCCACCCTTCTCTCCTCCTGTAGCCCAGGTCTGGGCAGGCACGCAAGCAGCACTGGCAGCAGAAGTGGAGAGGCGGAAGGGGGCGGTTGAGAAGCGAAAGCGGAAAGAAGAGGGGGAGGGAACCGAGAAGAAGCAGGAGTCGCTGCTGCTGCAGGCGGCACAGGAGGAACTCAAGCTGCTCCCCTCCTTCTCCCCCTCTCCCCTCTACCCGAAGCCCAGGTCTTGGCAGACACACAGGCAGCGCTGGCAGCAGCAGTGGAGAAGCAACGGGAGTTGTGGAGGGATTACGCCAGACAGCAGCGGAGGGGGAGGGCAACGAGAAGAAGAAGGAGTCGCTGCTGCAGCAGGCCGCACAGGAGGAGGTCAAGCTGTTCCCCTCCTTTCCTCCCTCGCCCCCCTTAAGTCCAGGTTTTGGCCGACACAGAAGCAGCATTGGCAGCAGCAGTGGAGAAGCAGCGGGGGGTGGTTGAGGGATTACGAAAGACTGCAGAGGGGGAGGGCAACGAGAAGAAGAAGGAGTCGTTGCTGCAGCAGGCCGCTCAGGAGGAGCTAAAATTGCAGCAGCTGGAAGGGGCGGCAAAGGCTGTCTCGGAGCGGCTGGGCCCCGCCTGTGTGGCGGCTGGTGGACGGCGAGGCGTGTCTTTTCTGCTGGGACGGCGGGCAGAGGAGGTGGAGGCGACGGAGGGGGGAGCGGTGGGTGAAGTGGCACGAGGCAATGGCACAGCAGAGGATGGGGCAGCAGCAGCAGCAGCAGCTGACAAGACAGCAGCGGAGGCGGCGGCAGATGCTCTGGCCGCGTCATTGGATGCGAAGCTGAAGGCGACAGTGACTGATGTCTCCATCTTCAGACGCCTGGCTGCCAAGTGAGTCAGTGAGAGAGAGTGAGTGAGTGAGTGAGTGGGTGAGCGAATGAAGGATTATCCTGTGTCTTCATGTCTCATCCCTTGTTGCCTTGTATCACAAGCCCTTGTCAGTTCAGCACGTGTCCTTAATGGGCATGTGTGTCTACTCGCCACAGCGGTTTCCTTTATGGGCATGTGTGCCTATTCCATATGTCTGATTATTTTGGGTGTGGTAATAACAGGTACGAAGTGGAGTTCTTTGAAGATATGAAGGCGCTTGGCGTGCGGCCGCCCCATGTGCTGACACGTGTTACAGAGTACGTGCTGAGATGAGACGTGTCACAGAGTACGTTTCTACGATGACACGTGTTACACAGTACGTCTCTATGATGACACATGTTACAGAGTACGTTTCTCCCTCCCTCTCCCCTTCAACACCATCTATGTACCCACCCCCCCCTCAACACCATCTCATCCCCCCCCTCAACACCATCTATGTACCCATCCCCCCACACCAGGTACATCGACGCCATCATCAACTACGTGGAGAAGATTGTTCAGCATGGCTTCGCGTATGCTGTCAACGGCAGCGTCTACTTTGACACCAAGGCCTTCAAGTGAGAGGGACTAGGCTAGTGCGCATCCGTGTGTGGAGGGTAGTGGGTGTGCGTGTCTAGAGGCGCCTCCTATCTCTTTTTTCCATCGTTCAGCATGGCTTCGCGTACGCTGTCAACGGCAGCGTCTACTTCGACACCAGTGCCTTCAAGCAAGCAAATTTTTTAATTTTTTCTTTTTCCTTCCCCTACATAACGGAGCTCCATCCGTATTGCATGTGCGGTCAAAGCAAACAGTTGAGGCTCGCTTTTCTATAAGCCACCGGCCCCGTCTCTGCAGGCGATCAGGCCACATGCAGGGGAGGTTATACGCGTGGTCCATGAACAGTGCAAGCAATGCCTTGGTCCCCTCTATTATCCCTATGATCCCCTCCCCAACCACGAATCCCCCCCCCCCCCCACGCTTCCCTCCCTCCCCCTCCTCTTTTCCCCTCCCCCCTTCCACCACAGGGAGTCGGGCCACATGTACGGGAAGCTCTGCCCGTGGTCGGTTGGCAGTGCTGAGCTGGCAGCGGAGAGCGAATCGGACTTTGCCACGTCAGAGAAGCGCAATCGCAGCGACTTCGCTCTGTGGAAGGCCAGCAAGGCCGGGGAGCCATCGTGGCCGTCGCCTTGGGGCGATGGACGGCCTGGATGGCACATCGAGTGCTCTGCCATGGCGTCAGATATCGTTGGATTTCCCATGGATATTCACTCAGGGGGCATGTGAGTGCTCGAGAGGGGGAGAAGGATCTGGGTGAAGGAGGTTTGGGTGAAGGAGGTTGGGGTGAACGGGGTTTGGTGTGCAAGAGAGGGCATGTAGATTAAGGGGGGATGGGCGGGCGGGCGGGAACATATGGGGAAACATTGAGTGTGCAGTGTATTTTTGAGATTTCTAAAAAATACCTTGCAAACATTGAGTGCTTGCTCTGTCATGGTGTTAGATATCGTTGGCTATCCGGTGTATACTCAATCAGGACTCACAACCCCTTCCCTTCTTTCCATACCCGGTCATCCCCCCTCCTCGCTGCTCCCTCCCATGCGTCAGTGACCTGCGATTCCCCCATCGTGACAACGAGCTGGCGAAGGCAGAGGCGTTCCACGAGTGCTCCCAGTGGGTCAACTACTTCCTGCACGCGGGCCATCTGCTCCCTTGGCTTCTTTCCCTCCCGCACCCCCTTCCCTTCTCCCTATACAACCCTGCCATTCCCCTACCAGTGACCTGCGATTCCCCCACCACGACAACGAGCTGGCGCAGGCAGAGGCATTTCACGAGTGCTCCCAGTGGGTCAACTACTTCCTGCACGCCGG